ATGGAAGGTCAGTAAGGATTGTACCTGACCCCAAGCTTCATATGGAAGGTCAGTAAGGATTGTACCTGACCTCAAGCTTCATATGGAAGGTCAGTAAGGATTGTACCTGACCCCAAGCTTCATCTGGAAGGTGTGCAAATTTCTTTAGTGGCTGATGCAAATATTCTTAGGACTTCTCTTTTTACAACAAGCTGAATTTTATTCCAAACATAAAACAAATTTAAGTTTAATAAAGAAATGAACATCCTCTCTTCCACTTTTTTAAATATGAACTGGGTTATGGTCTCTTATGTATGTCACAGCCTGTGAATCTGTATGGCAGTATGGTGATGGAATAGGGTCCCTGTATACCGTGATAGGTGGTGATTAGATCTTATGTATGCCACAGCCTGTGAATCTGCTTTGAAGATCTGTGTATCATCAGAGGGCTTTCACTATTTATCTGTTTCGTAAAAACATTGTCAATTTGGAGAGTGATCATTACCAATGAAATGTCCAATGCTAGTGGGATATTAAAACACATCTAAAATGGTACCATCACTGACTGCCACAGCAATATCATGAAAGTAACATGTACAAACTATGGACCTAGTTTTTGAGACATAAGCCAAGGATAAATATTATTTGAAGAAAACGTCCAAAAGGTACAGAAATAAGTTTAAAGTTTTGAAAATTCAGGAAGAATTCTAGGTCATGGAAAAGGAGAAAGCTGAAAAATTGAGAAGAAATAAATACAAAGAAAGGGAAAATAGAAACTGCGTATTTATTATTTGGTTTTGTTTCTTAAAGTTGTCAAGCATGGTAAAAAGTTGGGGAATCATTTTAGAAACCTTGATTGAAGTTGCTGGAAAAATCTGATTATTTAAAAGAATCTTGACTCCTGCCATTGCCTTTTTTAATTCTATTTGATATTTTTAATTTATAAATTTTTATCGGGTGACATTCTCACCCAAAAAGTACCAGTACTCGTGCATAAAACAAAGAATTTTGCTCATGTCGTTTATAATATTTATGAAAAAAAGAAATACATACGACCAATGTTTTGATGGTTTTAAAGAAATATATATATATATCAAACAAGCAACTAAATTAAAACTTTTCTAATTGTAAATGTACCTCAGATCTCTTTTTTTTTGCTTCCCATTCTATTGAATGACAAAAAAGACATTATGCTGACAAATACCAGGGATAGATACACAGTCCTTGCTAGCCTACAACAGGTCTCGTTAGTACTCTACTGACTGTTTAGATAGTCTGTCATTAGGTATAAGAAGAAAAGTAACAATGAAAGCAAAGAACTTCAAATAAAGTGATTATACCTTGTGAATTGAATTCCTTCGATTTTGTCCAACTGAAACATGGATGTTAAAATAAAAAATATGCAAAAATGTACACCTCGTGCACATAGGCAGAACTTGTTATGTAATGTACACCTCGTGCATATAGGCAGAACTTGTTATGTAATGTACACCTCGTGCATATATGCAGAACTTATTATGTAATGTACGTCTCGTGCATATAGGCAGAACTTGTTATGTAATGTACGTCTCGTGCATATAGGCAGAACTTGTTATGT